GGCCTGCTCTATCCTTTCTATATATTTTATATCCCGGTATGATTGTGTCCCACAGATTTTCCTCATTCCACCAGGTTTCAGTGATGCCTATTATGTCAATCTCCTCATTTAATACGAGGTACTCCAGTTCACCCATCTTATTAGTCAGACTCCTAGTATTTGTGTAGAAGCACTTTAAAAATTTGCCACTGCTTATTTGTCTGCCCTTCCCTGATGCATTGGATTCCTTTGTATGCGATTTTTTGTCTGCTCTGGCCCATGGTTTGTCCTCTCCCTTCCTCTCTTTCTGACTACAGCTTAGAGAATCTCTATCAATGGACTCTCCTCTAAAAGAAGTCTCCATCTGATTTACGTGCATCTCCGCACCAATCAGCTTTCCCCATCTCTTAGTCCCTCTAATTAACTGTTATTCTTTGCTCAATGAGGCCACTCACAGGGGCTAGCTGCTCCATACGCTGTGCATGGAGGAAGAGGGGACTTTGCAAGCTGTCCCCGCCCCCAGCACAATCACAGGCCAGATCCAAAGGTTTCATGGGCCAGATGTTGCCCACCCCTGCTCTACAGCAAGGTGCTGGTGAACCAAGACCTGGCTCAGCTCCGTGGAGGCCTAGTGCCATGAGCCCTTCTGGAGCTGCAGCAACAGGCTCTGGAGGATGTTCCCCCCGCCCCCACCCCAAAGAGCTCATGGACTAGGCAACTAGGTAGAAGAGAAGAAGCAAAAACGGAATGTCGGGCATCATTAGGATAAGGATAGAGAATAAAACAGGAAACATCAGATTGTCTCTACATAAATCCATGGTACGCCCACATAGTGAATACTGAATTCGGATCAAAAAAGATATCTTGGCATTGGAAAACGTTCAGAAAAGGGCAACAAAAATTATGCAGGGTATGGAACAATTTCCATTTCAGGAGAGATTAAAAAGACTGGCACTTTTTACCTTGGAAAGTAGCTGAATAAGGGGGATATGATAGCAGGTCTATAAAATTATGGCTGGGGGGGGGGGAG